ACCACCATCTCAGGAGGGAGAAGCAAGGCTTGAGGCTGGTTTCCACGGGGGCCTGCCTGACTGTGGCCTAAACAGGACAGCTTGATTGGTCCCACCCTCTGAGCTGCCCGCAGACAAGGGGACAGACACAGGCATTGTCCGGAGCGCCTCCGGGACCAGCCTGGGAGAAACCCCTGGAGCGACTGTGTTTTCAGCACCTTCCCTGAACAGCTGGGGTGTTTGTTGGCTGTGGAGTTCAGCGCAAACTAAGTGTGTGTCTCGCTTCTCACCTGAGCCCCCGGCCCTTGGCAAAACCTCCTGAGCCTGGGGGGGCGAGGGGGCCTCTCCCCCATGTCTTGGCTGGCTCTGGCTCCCACTCACTGAGGGCTCCCAGTTCTTCTCAGCTCCGCTGCCTCTGGGCCTTGCTTTGAGTTTTCCTTGCCTATGGGAGACAGTCCCCAGTAGCTTGCTGGGAGCTGCGAAGGCCATCTAGGACCTAGAGTCTAGGTGATGCTCCAGACTGACAACTGACATCTCTCCTGTTTCCTCCTCTTCCTCTTGCTCCGACTAGGCCACCTCCCTGCTGTCAGCTATGGAAGCTTTGTTCTGTGACAGTGTAAGGCAGCTTTTCTTTCTGAAGGGCCCAGGGCACCCTACTGAGGGCCACAGGTCCCTCCTCTGCCCGGAGGCACAGAGTAGAAGTGTGAAGGGTTGGAGCGGTGCCGTGGATAACGGCATGCTTAGCTGTGGCCCCCTAGTGGCAAGACCTGGTGTGGCCCCTTCTGCGCCTTGTACCAGGGGAAAAGCTCCCTTGGGAACTGCGCTGGGAGAGAGTCCTCCTCCATTTAAGAAAACTGCTCAAGTGCACAGGTACCTGCACTCCTGTGTGCTATGGATGCAGGTCAACGGACAACTTTTGCTTCTCTCTTTTGACCTTTACTTCTTTCTTTCTTTCTTTCTTTCTTTCTTTCTTTCTTTCTTTCTTTCTTTCTTTCTTTCTTTCTTGACAGGGTTTCTCTGTGTAACAGCCTTGGATGTCATGGAACTCACTATGTGGCCTCTATCTCACAGAGATCTGTCTGCCTCTGCCTTCTGAGTGTTGGGATTAAAGGTGTATGCCACCACGCCCAGCTGAGGTTTTCTTTCCTTTCCTTTTCTTTCTTTCCCTCCCTCCCTTCCTTCTTTCTTTCTTTCTTTCTTTCTTTCTTTCTTTCTTTCTTTCTTTCTTTCTTTCTTTCTTTCTTTCTTTCTTTCTTTCTTTCTTTCTTTCTTTCTTTCTTTCTTTCTTTCTTTCTTTCTTTCTTTCTTTCTTTCTTTCTTTCTTTCTTTCTCTCCTTTCTTTCTTTTTTTTTGGTTTTTCAAGACAGGGTTTCTCTGTGTAGCCTTGGCTGTCCTGAAACTCACTATGTGCACCAGGCTGTCTTCAAAATCAGAGAGCCTCCTGCCTCTGCCTCTTAAGTTCTGGGATTAAAGGCATGTGCCACCACTGCCCAGTGAGATTTTATTTTCTTATCTTATGTGGTAAGGGTTTGCCTGCCTAGACCTCTGAGCCGCATGTGTGTGCAGTACCCATACCAGCCAGAAGAGGGCATCAGATCCCCTTGGACTGCAGTTACAATCACTTGTGAGCCATCGCGTGGCTGGGAATGAAACCCGAGGCCTCTGGAAGATTAGCCTGCGCTCTTAACCACGTGGGCCTGAGCCATTCAGCCCCGTGTTTCCCTCTTCTTCCGGGCTGGCCGGCCCATGAGCTTGTGGGCGATTCTCCTGCCTTCACCTCCTGCCTTACTGTAAGAGCGCTGGCATGACCTTTAGTCAGGGTTCCGGGAAGCGAACTTAGGTCACCAGGCTTGGACGGCCGAGTGTTTCTATCCCCCTGAGCCACCTCCCTTATTTCAGACAGACAGGCCGACACCTTGGTCGTGTTTCCTGGGCCCTGGGTGGGGGGAGGGCTCAGTGGGTAAATCACTCGCCGTGGAGCCATGAGGAACTCGGTGGGACTGCACTCCTGCGGCTTCAGTGCTGGGGAAGCAAGACTGAAGGACGTTTGGGGGCTGGTGGCCAGCCAGCACAGCCTATGGGACAGTTCTAGACCAGTGAGTGAGAGACGTAAAAAGACAAGGTTTGCTGCTCCTGAGAGACAACACCCAAGGTTGAGCTCTGGCTTTTTTTTTTTTTTTACTTATTTATTATGTATACGATGTTCTGTCTGCATGTACACCTGCAGGCCAGAAGGGGGCACCAGATCTCATTATAGGTGGTTGGGAGCCACCATGTGGTTGCTGGGAATTGAACTCAGGACCTCTGGAAGAACAGCCAGTGCTCTTAACCTCTGAGCCATCTCTCTTGCCCCGACCTCTTGCTTTTTATACACATACACACATACACGCACACGCACACTCACTCACACTTGTACACATATATGCATGCACAGTCACACACACACATGCATAGTCACACACACACACAATGTGCGCACACATACTTCATCCCTTCTTTAAACAAAACAGAACAAGCTGCTCACTTCTGGCACACACCTTTAATCTCAGCCCTGGAGAGGCAGAGGCGGGTGAGTCTGTGAGTTCAAGGCCAGCTTGGTCTACACATCCGAGTTTCAGGACAGGCAGGGCTTCACAGAGAAACTCTGTCTCAAAAACGAAACAACTGCCATCTAGTCTTTGAGTTTCGACTATAGGTAGGGAAGGACGCAAGAAGATCTGACTTTCCAGCAATGCCCAAGGCAGGGAAGGCAGAAGGATGTAATGGAAGCTTTGGCTTCTGTAAAAGCTCAGTGACGCAAATACGTTTTTGTTTTAATCCGAAGTGTAGGATTTTAGTTTGAGCTTTAGTTTTTCCATAGCTGATAATTGCTTCCTTCGGGTTCCGTGGTCTTTGCCAGCTGGTAATGGCCTGCCTCCGTGTGGTCTGGAGAAGGGCGTGGTCCAGGACTATTAGGGATGTAAATACAAGAGCCCGGAAAGAAAAGATGTCGCAGTTTGGAGAGACCAGAGACAGATCTTGGAGGAGAGACAGCTTGCTGAGTTTACTGTTGACAGAGATTGGGATAGCCCGCCAAGATTCCATCGACCCTAAACAGCCGGGAGAAGTAAAGGGGTCTGTGCCCCTCTCCCCACTAACCTTCTCTCTCTTCCCTAGGGTTAAAGGGTTGGTGGAAGGGAGGAGGAGTTTAAATACCCCAAATGCAATAGAGTTGAAAAACAAGCACAACAGGGGAGAGAATCCTCCTCACCACCTTTGTCACTTCTGCCTGGTAACATGTCTGGGTGGTACCCAGTTCCCGGTCTGGGTGGCTGCTGTTGTGCCCGCCACAGGTGGTGCTCGGCAAATGGGACCTCTTTGGCACTGTGTACAGCAGCCAGTCCCACCCTGCTATCCACCTGGCAGGGGCTCACTCTCTTGCAGGGTGGCAGGTCTCCAGTGCCACCGCTGGGCTTCTTTTTCTCTCCTTGTTGGCACTGAGGCCTAGGGGAGACTGACTTCCCCAAGAGTTAGCCAAGTTTCTGCTACATCCTCCGGTGTTGCAGGGTTGACGTGCAGCTGTGAGAATCCCAGATTCTGGCCCCGGAAGGGTGCCCACCTGTCATTCAGAGTTTGAGTGGATCCTGAACCCCACCCCACGCCTGCTGCACAGGGGAGGCAGGCCACCTACTCTGAGGTGCCGTCTTCCTTGGCCTTGTCTGTCCGGTCCCCGACATGTCAGCTGTCTCACCTGACTTATAAAGCAATGGTAGGTGCTCCAGGATTCAAAGAGCTTGTCCCTGGAAAGCAGTGACTTCCTAGCACACCCAGACAGGCTGCAGAGAGGAGCCATGTATTCAGGCAGGTGGCTTTGAAAAGGGGAGGCAGAGCGTGGGCTTGGCTTCCTCCCAGCAGGTGCCTTGGGCAAGCCTCCTGCCCTCACCCTGTCTCAGGCTCGTCTGTGCCTCCCAGGGTGGCAAGGGAGACCCGAGACTGTGTGGGTGGTGCAGACACAGCTGGCCAGTCATCAGAGATACCCAAGAGGTTACCGGCCTGCTCCAGACAGCCCCCCTGAACCCCAACTTCCTGGCCCAAGCTCCCTCTGTTCACCAACAGTTAGACAGGGGGCTTTTCTGCTGGCCACATCCCCCTGCCCCCACCCAGCCCAGAGGGCTTACTTTCTTTCAGCCCACATCTGCCCTTCAGTCCTCCTACCTCCTTTGGGCAGCCTACCCAACCCTGGGATCCCACAGACCAGCATCCCTAAGGACCAAAAAAAAAAAAAAAAAAAAAAAAAAAAGACAGCAAAAGCAGGCCGGCCTATCTGTCACCATCTTTCTTTATTTCCGGTTTCTAGTTTGACAGTCAATGACAAAACTTGTTCGATGACAAACCTACCACCCTCCCCCCACTCCCCACACACCACCTTGTTAACAGGCCATTCTTCCATATATTATTAACTCTTTGCTAACCTATTTAATACTTTAAATATAAGGACAAAACAATAAGTTAGTTCATGGCTGAGGGCTGGTTGCTGCCGGCTGGCAGGCAGGAGGGTTGATCCTGTCTCCCGCCTGGACGAGATCTGGAGGCTCCAGTGAGGTAGCACAATTGTGTATACAGTAATTATCGCCAGGGATGTCCAGAGCCCGCCGCTTCAGTGCTGGGGCCCCAGGGTGTAGGCAGCAAACCTTTGCCCCAATACTGACAGACTTATTTAAATAACATAAAATCATAATAAATAAGATCAAGAAGAAATGCGCCCAAGCTGATCTCTGCCTCAGTTGCCCTGTGTGACCCAGGCCGCAGGCTGGACTCACCGTCATGCTCCAGTTTGCTGTAGGGATGGGATGACAGGGGAGGTGGCCAGACTGAGCCCTCTGGCACTAGGCAGGCAGTGCAGGCTGAGGTCAAAGCTGAGGCAATCGCGGTCCCTTCCCAGCCCTCCCCCCTGGCTCCCCAAGAAATGTCTGATGTGAGAGAGAAAAAAATGGGTCCACAGCTGAGGTGTCCAGGGCACCTCAATGTGTGTTTTTCTCTCTTCAGGGGAAGGGGCCGTGGCGATAAAGTTGCTTTGAGTGGCCGAGCAGATTTTTTATAAACTGGGCAGCTTCAATCTTGGTATCCGGGACTCTGGAAACCTGTGAACGAGGAGAGAGGCCCGTCCATTAGAGGGACGCCAGCACCCACTGGGGCTTTCCAGGGACTGTCCCATACAATTCTCCCAAAAGTCCCTGCCATGGGGGTTCTGGTTTTGCCCCTTCAGAAATGTGGAAACTGAGGCTCAGGTAAAAGGTAGGAGCCCTTGAGCCCAAGAATGGTAACTCCCTAAGCCTGGGTCCTTCTTGCCACAGTGGACAAACACATGGGGTGCTCAGCCGGCCAGCAGGAGTGGGCACAGGGGTGGGGCCAGCTTACCACAGCGGGGGCCTTGCGGGCACACAGCCCATTCAGAATCCTCTGGGTCTTGTGGATGGCGTTACAGCTGGAGATGTTGGTCAGCGAGTCCAGGGCTGCACAGAACTGGAGGAGAAGAGGGGAGATGTCGGGTCTGGCTCAGGCCACAGGAAAGTGGTTGGGCTGGCCAGATGGGTACGGGTGGAAGAAGGAGCTTAATTGTGAGGAGTGAGTGGGTAGCTCGTGGGACAGCATTTCGCAGCCTTCGGGTTTCGATCCCGTCAGGGGCCGCTTATCAGACATCCTGCGTATAATATTTGCATTATGATTCATAGCGGTAGCAAAGTTACTCTTAGGGAGTAGCCATGGAATCATTTCATGGCTGGGGTCACCACAGCTCGAGGAACCGTGTTAAAGGGTCCCAGCATGGGGAAGGTTGAGATCCGCTCTCGTAGAGTTTGCTTTTTCAGCTGAGTTCTATGATGAGGCAGGCTCTCATTCTGTAGCCCAGGCCAGCCTGGAACTTACTATATAAAATTCAGACTGGCCTCAAACTCATGGTAATCCTCCTGCCTCAACCTCTCAAGTCCTGATATTCCAGGCACGCCTCGCTCTGAAGGTTGTTTGGGAAGTCCCAGCTGCATGAGTCCGGCTTAGAGAAAGGACACCTATAGCCGCCATCACATCCCCGAAGCCCAGGCTCCTTACCCCGCCGGCTGCCAGGTCCACACTCCATACCATGCTGCCATTGCACAGGGGAGTCTGAGGAAGCAAAGAGAGACCGTGAGCAGAACGGTAGCAGGAGTCGTAGGCTTGTCCCAGCCAGGCCAGGCCCGCAAGCACCCCTAGGGTAGCAGAGAGGCAGACTTGACAACACCCTAAACTCCATTGTCACCTGTGCCTGAGGGGGATGAGTCAGGGGTTAGACCTGGAGTCGTGAGAGGGAAATTGAGTGGCTATTGGCAGGGGAAATGCCTTTCTTTGTTGAAGCTTGCCACAGTCTGGGCAGGAGGACGGGGGACCTACAGAGAAGGCCAGAGTTCGGAAGAGGAGGGGTGGGAAAGGCCGCTGTTGACCTGGCCGCCTCGGATTCGAGGCAATGGGAGCCTGTTTAGGAACACACATACGGCCTCAGGTGATTCTTGCAAGGCTTGGGTCTAGACTGACATCAACCCCCCTGGGACCTTAAAAAATGAAGCCACCGTGCCTGCCTCTGGAAGTGTCAGCAGGATGACACAGAAGCCAGCGCCAGGCTTAGCAATATTCAATGGTCAGACTCTGTGAGATGATAAGCCCATGGGGACAGGAGTTGATGCTCCAGAGCCCTCCTGTCCAACTGCCTGAAATCATGACAGCGACATGGCATAGAACATCCAGTTTGGCAGATGCCAAATGGTTCTAGGAAGCTGCTGGCCCTTCCCTGTTTTCCTCTGTGGAAGAGTGCCGTGCTGGTAGAAGTGCAGCCAGGCCCCTAGTGACTCTGCTAAGCCCTGCAAGGTCCAGTTATTAGCCATCGCCACACCATTTTGAAAGTCCTCCCTTTTGGTTAAACAATGGCAGTTTCTGGAAACCACAGTAATCAGTATTTCAAAAATAAAGCAGCTCATTTTCCTAGATTCATGTCACCCTCAGCACCGGCCCCCACACTCCTGCAAACCCTTAACAATGACGATCTAGCTGTGGAGAGCTTTGAGGATCACCTGGCACTCTTGCTCACCATTCTTTAACTACCCCCAGCAGGCTTTGGACCCACATTCCTAGCCTTCCCTGTCCCCATAAACTATCCCATAACTAGACTGTTAGTAGTCTGAGGGCTGTCTGGTTTCCCCGTCTAGAGATCTCTCTTCTTCAGGTTTTTGTTTTTTGTTTGTTTGTTTTTTGATTAAACCTGTCCCATTGTAAAGGCCTTTCCTTTGGGGGGGCCCTTCACTGTCCACACTTTTGCACTCCCAAACTGGCTTCCCCTGTTCCTCACCTTTGAGCCCCGGGGTCTGGGGGCTTCTTCTGTCATTGACACAGGCCCTGACCCAGCCTGCTCATGCCCTCTTCTGGGAGGGTGTGTATGTTACTCACCCTCTGATCTTGTGTGATATTGCTCAGCTCTTCAATAAGCTCCTTCAGGGCCACGGGGGGAGACACGGATCGCCCCACTGGGCCTGGGACAGCGAGACCACTAAGGCAGGCGAGAGCCAGGACTGCAGTCAACCAGAGTGCCATGAAGCCCAGAGCCAGCGGGAGAGGAAAGAGGAGCAGAAGAACCTCGGGCCGGCCTAAGCTCGTGGCTGGTGGCCTTAGCCCGTAGTAGCAGCTTTTATAAGCCCAAGTGGTGACGTCTCACTCCTGGTCCCTCGTTGTGGGGCATTATCTGAAAACCACATCTTTACTCATCTTGATTTTTTTTTTTTTGATTTTTTTTTTTTTTTTTTGGAAAATCCAGTGCCATCTCAAGGAAAGAGTCTGATTTAGCGGATTTATTGAGAAGGGTCTGGGACAGAGTTTCCAAGTTCTGGGTGGCTTATTTCCAGGGTGGGCATCAGCAAAGCCAGCTTCTGCCCCAGTAATTCCACCTGCTGACTGCCCCAACTCTTGGGCAGCCAGCCCAATACTGACTTCCGTGGGTCACTAAGTACCTGGCCACCTCTAGGCACGTGACAATATCAAGTCTAATAGCTGTGAGAGTGGGGAAATTTTCCTCTCTTTCTTTCCTTCTTTTTTTTCTTCTTCTTAATTTCAGTAAACATATCTCATAAATCATCAAAGCAACGCACAGTTCGAATACAAAATTCAAACAGGACAAGGAGAATAAGGAGAGCTAGCTTCCGTCCACCCCACTGTTCCTTCCTGAGTGGGAGGGGATGCTCACACTGCCCGAAGGTTCACTGAAACGCAGCCAGCTCAGGTATTCCCCTGACGTTTCGTTTCACGTGTAACATTGTTTTGATGCTAAACTCTGCCAACGGGCAGCCTGGACACGGGGCCCACCAGGGCCTTCTCTTGGCCATTCTGCTGGCACACTCTATCTGGGTTGGGGAGGCAGCTGGTGGCTGCTCAAACTCTCGCCCAGTTCTGGCCACCATACTTGCTTCCCACCTCGGCCCTCCAAGGGCCTCAGAACGCTGGGAATGTTAGGAGTGATTGGAGGGCCGCTCCTGGGCCTGTCTCCTGCAGGCAGCCCCCAGTGCCGCAGGGACACCGGAAGAAGGCCTTTTCCCTACTCTTTCCTCCTGCTGAACTACCCACCCCCGCCGGAGGCCACAGCATTTGCCTATTGGGTAGTGATGTCAAGATGCACCCTCACCCACTTCCTCCCTCAGGCCAGCAGCGGCCCCTCCATGCCCCCCTTCTCTCTCAGACTCTCCCCCACCCATTTCTTCCCTTCAGCCAGACTCCATCTGCTCACAGATGTCCTCAAGGGACTCTGGAGCCTTCATTCTCGCAGGACCTAGCCTCGCCCAGCTCTCTTCCCACTGGGAACAGCCCTGGCAGCTCTCTGTCCACAGCGGGGGCCGGGGGGGGGGGGGGGGGGGGAGCCCCCGCGGCCCCCCCCCCCCCCGGGGGGGGGGGGGGGGGGGGGGGGGGGGGGAAGAAGCCTCGCTGTCCAGCTACACATCTAGGAAATGGAAACCCGCTTCTGTCCCTTGTCCCCGACAGGATCTGAAGCGCCTTGCCTGGCCAAATGACCCCTGTGGGGCCTCAGTTTCTCAGTCCGGAGGCCAGGGTCTGCAGGGGGCCAGATCCCTTGGAGGTCGGGGGCGGGGAAGACGAGGGGAAACACCTTGGGCGGTGCACGGGTGAGTCAACGTGGCCCCTGCCCCTCAAGACGAGCCGAAGGCGCCCGGGGAGGCGCCCCCCGCGCGTGGGAGAAGGCGCGCTGGCGCGGCGATGGCCCGCGGAGATAGGGGCGCGGACTTATGTAACGGGAGATGGGGTCGATAAGGGGACGGCGGCGCCGCCTCCGTGATCTTCGGGAAGGCGCGGCCAGAGCTGCCCCGCAGGGAAGCGGCCGCCGGCCGCCAGGCGGAACGGGGCCCGGCTGGACCAGTGTCCCAGCGCACCTGCGCATCCTTGAGCACCGCGCCCCTGCCCCTCGCCAACCCGGCAGGAGAGGGGCCACCGCCCCCAGGGCCCCTGCAGCGAGAGACTGAGAGAGCTGAGAACCTTTTTCTTTTCTTGGTTTTTCGAGGCAGGCTTCCCCTGTCTTGGAACTCGCTCTGTAGACCAGGCTGGCCTCAAACTCAAGAGATCCACCTGCCTCTGTTTCCCTGGGTGCTGGGATTAAAGGCGCGCAGCTTTAATCCCACCTGGCTGCTGCTGCTTCGTTATTTTATTTATTTATTTATCTATTTATCTATCTATTTATTCATTTATTTATTTATTTATTTATTTATTTATTTATTTATTTATTTATTTATTTATTTATTTAAATTTCAGGGTTTTGAGACAAGGTCTAGCTTTGCAGCACTGGCTGGTCCAGAGCTCCTGCAAGCGTGTCCAACTCGCAACTACGAAAGGAGCCAAGCACACAGTCTTTAACTTACTGAAACATGAAGATTTAAAAACAAGACAAACGGCGAGTGTGTGTGTGTGTGTGTGTGTGTGTGTGTGTGTGTGTGTGTGTGTAACTTAACTGCTGTCCTTGAGTGTGAACTTTGTAGATGACAATATCAAAAGGTTGGGTATGTTTTAGAACAAGATGGTCTTGAAGTCATGGCAATCCTCCTGCCTCTGCCCCTGGAGTGAGAAGGGCAGGGGTTGTTCTTCTTATCCAGCCTGTTCTAATCACCTATTACATCATGAGAAACCAATTCTCACAAACTACCAGAGGGTGTGACCTGACCTCAGAACACTTACGGGCCCATGGCCTGCAGCTGGGCAGTTTGCAGTTTTCTGGAAGTAACCCTGATGTGGGGGTAGTCCTGCCTGGCCCTCTGCTCGCCTTGGGACTGGCTGGAATTTCAGGACAGCTGCCTCTTTCTGGATTGCCGCAGGCTTTGGGTCTCTTTTTCGGGGGGGAAAAAAAAAAGGTGACGGCGTTTGGAAGGAGTGCGGACTGTGTGAGTTGTTTGGTTTTTCGAGACAGGGTTTCTCTGTGTAGCCCTGGCTGTCCTGGACTCATTTCGTAGACCAGGCTGGCCTCAAACTCACAGAGACCCGCCTGCCTCTACCTCCCTGAGTGCTGGGATTACAGGCCTGCGCCACGTCGCCCGGTGTGAGTTGTTTTAGTAGGTATAACTGTTTATTCAATTTCCAGGGAAATTATGTTTGCCAGGAACGTCAGAAAAGGAACCCGGCGATGTGGCTCTCAGTTCTCAATAGGGCCTCCTGCACTTATCCCCTGAGTGAGCCTGTTGTGCTTAGCTTTTAAGGGTGTCTGCACAACACAGGATCCAGGAAGAGAGAGATTCCATCTTCCTCAGAGCAAAAGGCAGGCAGCTCAGTGCTCAATAGAAAAGGCCAGGCAGGTCCCTAACCAGGGGCTTCTGCCTCCTACCACAGCCTACTACTGTGTGCGTGGGATGGTCTGGCTCTCTGCACCATGCTGGGAGAACTAGGTTTCAGGACACAAAAAAAAATGGCTGGGGCTGGTGGCCTACCATGCTGGCTGGCTGTGGTAAATTCTTGTCTTGGAGCCAAGAATCCTCTCCTGTTGGCATCTGTTAAACATGCCAATGGACTTCCTTAGCTTGCAAGTAGGATACAAATCTCAGGTCCCACAGGGTTTGTTGTCATCGTTGTTAGTTTGTGGTTTGGGAGTCAGGGTCTCCCTGTGTAGACCAGGCTGGCTTCAGACTCCGTTTTTCCATCCCTCTCCCTCTGTCTTGAGTGCTGAGATTCCAGGTATGGGTGGCCAGGTAGTTTTCTCTACTTTTTTTCCAGGGAATTTAACCCTGAACCCCACCCCCTCCCCAGAAGTCTCCTGTGGGCCTGGTAGGGAGCCACTGTCTTTCCAGGTCACTTGTGTGCAGGGAGTTCCCTGCGCCCCACCAGCTCCTCTTCATGCTCTCCTAGTCCTCTTTCTCAATGAGACACCTGTGGGAACTTTCTTTCGAGTTTTAACTTTTTTTATAGTTAATTTTAAGTGCTATCCAAAACCACGAATGTTGTGCGTATTAATGGGGCAGCCACGTAATGTCCGGCACACTCCAACACCGTGGGATGCTTGACTCAGGCAAATAGTCATATTCCGATGAGTCTGTCTTTTGATGCCAGCCTGTATCTGTGCGCAGCGTGTGTGTGCACTTACCTCTCACTCTCTGTAGTGGACGCATGTGTGTGCAGTTGTCTCTGCGTATGTGTGCGGTGCACACGCATAAGCTCGTGGTTGATTGTAGCGGTCTGCTCCCATCCTCTCCATTTTTTTTTTTTTAACTTTTTTTGAGACAGGGTCCCTCACTGAAACTGAAGCTTGATGCTTCAGCTAGTGCGGTTGGTCAGGAAACGCTGGGGCTACAGGTGTGCGCCACCGTGCTCAGCCTTTATATGTGGTGTTGGGGGATCTGAACTCGTGCTTGCAAGGCTCTTGTGCTTGCAAGGCAAGAGTTTTATCCACACTGAACCACTGCTGAGAGCTTTCTGATTAAAGGTGTGGAAGAGGTAAAGTTTTTGAGAACCTGTGTACCTAAGTATCTTTATATTACTCTTAAATAGGTGCATAGTTTAGCTAAGTATAAAATTGTAGATGGAAAAAAATGTCATTCGTTCAAAATTTTAAAAGTCTGTCTTTCTGAGGCTCCAGCGTCCTCCCTTAGCCTTTCTCTAGAAAGTGAATGGATTTTCTTGGTCTTTGCTCCAGTTCCCAGTGATGTGCTCTGGAGCAGCTGATTCTATCAGCTTTGATAAACATGCTCAAAGCTCCTGAACAGGGAAAGCAAAGGTCTGCTAAACTAACCAACCTCTTCCTACCTCTTTCTCATTTTCTTTTCTTTTTCCTTTGTTTTGCTCTTCATGTGGCACATAAATTAGAACAATTATGCATGCATATAGTCCACACATGAACACTCCTAGAAAACTGGGGTGGGGGAGACAATGGTGACTTTTCCCTATATTCTCTTTTCTAGTTGGAACTGCTGTGGGTGTTTGTGTTTTATGCTTCTTGGAGCCTGGTCTTCAACTTTTCTTATCATTTCTCTCCTTTGGAAAAATTTCCCTCTGCTGGTACGTTTCCATAGTTTTCTTTTCTTTTCTTTTCTTTTTTTTTTTTTTTTTAAGCCCAAGAATATTTCATTCTTTGGGGCAAGTATGTATGTGTGAGAAAGACAGATAGACAGACAGACAGACAGAGCGATAGAGACAGAGAGCCTGCTCACAGTTCTTCGTGGAGCACGTACTCGGAGGCCAGTATTGATGATGGGGGTCTTCCTCAAAGACCCTCTATCTTAATTTTCTTTTAAAAAAGTAGGCTCATACTATACCTGAGGCTGATTCCCTAGAATCAGCTGCCAGCTCTCCCCAAAGATTATCCTGCTTCTGTCTCCTCAATGCTTGATGACAGGCCCAATGTGGGTGGGCTGTGTAATGTGGGATGTGGCTGGTGTGTATTGATCTGAACTCAGGTCCTCACGTTTGTACAACAAATCCTTTATCAGCTGAGCCGTGTTCCAGCCCCTGACCCAGTTTTCACTGTTAGGACTTATTTATTTATTTATTTAGTTAGTTAGTTAGCTTGTTTGTTTGAGACAGAGTCTCACCCTGGAACCTTAGGTGGCCTGGAACTCAAATGCTGGGCCTTGAGAACCACCTACCTTCTCCCTCTGATGCACTAGAACTGAAAGCATATGCCACCACTCCCACAGAGGTCCTATAATTTTTTTTTAATAAAGTGAACACTTTTTTAAAATTTAAATTAATTTTAATTTCCTGGCATCAAGCCAGGTATCCTGTAATTGAAGCACTCGGGTAATCTGGGTGGTCATGAGTGTGAGGCTATTTTGTCCTGCCCGAGCTTTTTACACTTTTCATCTTCTGCCCTTGAGTCAGCCTCTTCCGGGAGCCTGCCTTGTTTTCTTGAAGTCGGTGTTTTGAAGTCATGGTGCAGCACCCTGGGTGTCATTACAAGCACAGCCCCGTGTTTCATGAC